AAGTACAAAGGAAAGGCTGGCGGCACTTTTCATTCTTCTGGTTCATCTCGTTTCCAGTGGTTCAGGGGCTTCTACAGCTACGTTTCGTTTAGTTCGGCAGTAATAGTATTTCCATTCTTCCTGTTATTGTCCGCAAAGGGGGTTGGAGTGGTGAGGAAGAAGAAGAAGACGACGAATGCAAGCCCGAAGCTTTGCCGAGTTTTGCCGAAGCGCACGCTGCATTGGCGAAAGTGAAGTTGTTCTTTTATGCGCTTAATATTAGTGAACGTGACGAGGAAAACATTTTGAACGTGGAAAGTACTCTGTTTGGTCTAAAACGTAAAGTTTCGACAAACCAGTTGTCCATTAAAGACTTTTTTGGTAAAAAGAAGTAACTTTGAAAGAGAAACATTGTTTTTTTTTTAAATTTTTAATGCTTTCCCGCATCTATCGTTTTCCCGCATCTATCGTTTTTATTTCCCACCCCCGCCGAAAACGATGCATCGAGGTTTCACTGTACGTACTTTCAGTAATGTTGAATTAAGGAGGAAATCACAAATCTCACATCAAAGTAAACGGTGTACTTTATCTGTAGTGCCTTCTCTCGCTGTTGATAAACAGTAACATGTGCTTATTTGAACTTACAATATTGATGCGTTTGTCTCTCGTGCGTTGAGTTGTGACATCCCAGTAATGATTAATCAAAAATGAATGTGTTGTGTGAGCGCATCTCAAATCTTGCTGTAATTCTAGCTTTTAAAATAAAAGGTGTTCAGGAAATCGTAACATACACATGTATGAAAGATGCCATACATTGTCTTACAAGGAAGAAACTCAAAAGAACATTTGTAACACTAATAACAGTTGAAAGAATATGATGTCTGTTGTGTATGTTAATTTCCCATAAATACTGCATGTTTATATGATGTGTTGATCCACTGTTATTATGGCAGTAATTGTCTGGCTTTCTGCTGTGGCTGCAAGGCAGGGGAATAGATTCCAGAAGAGAATGTTTTGCCTTCGTAATTGCATGCTCTTATTTAGTAGTCTTCTTCTTCTTCTTTGGCTGTCCGGTCCGTATTCGGTCCATGGCCTCCTCAATTCTCCTGTTCCATTCGGTCCTCTGTTAGGTCCATCTGTCCGAGGCTTTGATCGAGGTTTCGAAACATTTTCCTTTTTACGGTGCAAGGTTGTTAGCCTTGCGACAAATCCCCAACCTGGAGGACCAGGACCTGTCTTAGTCTGACCTCTCCTCCTCGACCAATCTGGCTAGGGAGGCCCTACCAGTAGCTATGCTACCGCCAGCATAGCTCTTGGGGTCACTGAGGTACTCAAACCCCACCACCACGACAAGGTGCAGGTACCATTAAGTGGGGCATATTTAGTAGTAGTTTTATGTATTGTTTGCTCAGTGTATGCATTTAAATAATTTTCTTGTGATAAGCATTGAATCATAAGGTTTTGGTATTTGTTGTGTTGCATATACAGAAAACAACAGAATGAGGAAAATATTGCAAACTGCCTTGTATGACAGCCATCTTATGAGTTGATATATGAATTTATATCACAGCTAAGAGATGCCCTACTCACGATTTTCAGTTTATGATGGTGATTAAGGATGTTTGTTCTTTCTACCAAAAATATAGTTGCACAATAAAATTTACTCGAGTTATTTTTTTGAATACAGCGATATTAGAACACATTTGTTCTACTCTACACATCATTGGAAGTACAGTTTCCTAATTGACTCTTAAAAATTTTGAACTTGGAACTCGCCAGGTAAGAAAATATTTCTTTTGAGGGGTACCATTACTTATTAAAAAGTGTATAATACATAATCTAATACAGGGTTGTCGTGTATTTCGACTGTATGATACAACACCAGTACCTGCAACACTTATCAGATGTCGGCTTCCCCTCTACTCTATTATCAGTAATTTACGTGTCCATGCTGAGTACCAATTAATGTTCAAGATGGTACATATAGCCTGACTGGCAACTGCTCGTTGAGAGTGCTCACCAACCATGTATATTTGAAGGTGAACTGTATACTTCCACTTGGACGTCTGTATTCAATGATGCGTTTCTAGTGTAGCAGACTAGTATTGGTGCAAGGACCATGTACAAGTTCAAATCTGAACATGTTTCTTTTCTCTCTGCCTCTACTCTTTCTGTATTGCATATCTCGTATTTACGTAAATACTCGCTTAAACCGTGCATTTGTATATTCAAAATTTCTGTGTGGAACTCATACCAATAGCAACTGGAAGTGGATACCAAAATAAGTAGACTGATAATTGCTGTCTTCTGGGTTGTTGCGCCGTGTAGTCCGGTAAATGTCTACCAACATTGAAGAAGTCCATGCTGCCTCCATCATCGTTCGGATCGTTTACACATGTGGCATTCTGGCATGAAACAGTACGATTGCATTCACACAAAAAAGATTAAGATTGTACAGGAGACTGACAAAAGAGAAAGTTTCATGTAAATTGTGTTTGTAAAGGTCACTGACAGACATTGTGTTACAAATATTTTGTTTTGTTAGTGTGACCAAGGAATTTTTTTCTGCCTTTTTTACATAATGCCAATTTTTTTTTATTTATGCAGGTCATCAAGTGTTACACTAAGTGCTATCTAGGAGGCTATATTGGATTAGACAGACGTTCCCAGAGTGTGGCCCATGAGCTTCATTCAGGTGGTCCTTGAAACAATTAGGATTACAGATAAATTATGAAACATAATAAAGGTACATAAAAAGGTAGTACAGAAGTGACAGGATACTTGTGGAACAAACGAAGTACAGTGCCGCCTTCAGTGTTGTCATTTGTTTACTTTTATAACAGTTTTTTCTGCAAAATGTACTATATAACAATTAAAATAAATGTTTAAAATTTGATATAGAAAGACATAATGTAATGTTCAATTCATGTGTGTTGAGGTTTTACTGTAGGAATTTCAAACTTGTGGCCTGGTCCATTTTTCAAATTATGCACGTTTAGCGCCAAATGCTCCAGTTTTAATACATTTTAAGTTTCAGATGCATGTAAAATAAATGAGATTTAAGTTTCTCAGGGTGATGAGTATGAAAATGACTATCTTCTGGGCTGTTGCATCATGTAGTCTGCTTGCTCCTTCCATCATCCTTGTTGCTGTGATGATCGAAACAGCAAGCACCTCTGAATCCCTGGGAAACTTCCACCAGACTAAATGGCATAACAACCCAGAACACAGCCATCTTCATGTAAAATATAAAGTAGCTCCTGTGTACCACTGTTTTATATTTCAATTAAATAAAGTGGAAATGTGTTTGGTGAAATTTATATTTGTGTGTGCTTATGGGAAAATGTAGTAATAAAAATGTTATCTTAAACTCGATGCTCGAACGTGTAAAATTGGGCTGTTATGATTTTTTCTACCTGTAATGGTATCAAGGGACAGTCTTCTATATTCTATATTTAACCCAAAAGGGACAAGACATCCCATTGAAAACTGTATGTGACTCTTAGTAGACACTGAGTTTGACATGCCTGGTTTACTATATTTACATCCAAAGGAAAAATATAGGGGGTCCACAGATAGATCAAGCCAACTAAGAAGTTGGGGACCCGTAAAGGGTACTGGAAAATGTATAAACATTGTTAAACTGGAAATAGAGAGAGAGGAAAAATATAAATGTGTTATAAACATGATAACAATAATAACAAAAACACTTTTAACAGTACTCTGAATTACGGATAGTAAAACTTTCAAAATATTTGTCTGGTTGGTTGAACATAAAATAAGTTCATAAACTTTTCATGACATTGCCTTAGTCATAGTCTGGTGTTTCAGAGGTCCTTACTGCCTCATCAGGGCACACACATCACCCTGATGGAGGTGAGAACCTCAAATCCTACTAAGTAAAAATGCATTTGAAGCTTGATATCAAGTTTTTATAATGTCCAGGTGGGAAGACAACAGAACTTATAGCTACTACATGAGATGATTGACATTGCAGGGATATAAAATTTTACTTCATACTTCAGGTTTGAATGGAAGGGAACACCATTGTAAGATATTTTGTTTTGTTTTGTAGTCCATAGTTGGCTGCATTATAGCGTTCACTGTGAAGTACTAGTTGCAAAGAAATTTGCCATTGGAAATGAATATTTTGGGCACTCTGTTGAAAAGTGTTTAAACTAGGCATAAATCCAGGAATTGTTCAAACGGCTATTTCTGTCAGAATCTTTATTTAAATTAAAAGATGATTTTGAAGATGTGTCTTCTATCTCTTGATCACTTTACTTAATGGATATATTTACATGATCAAGTGAGTTTTATGCTGATCTTCAAGGAATTGTGGTGAATGAAGGAGACAAAATCAATGCAGTGATAAATGCCATGTATTTGTTAGCGTCTTAGAAAAACTTTTTCAGCCAACTTTCATGATTGGAATGTTTGCTGTCAGAAAATTAGTTGGTCCTTGGTAAAAACATAGGTAACTTTATAGAAAAGCATCTTATCTTGAAGGAACAGTTTGGTGATTACTTTCCAGCTGAAGTAGAACCAGACAGTTGGATACATAATTATTTTTGATAATTATATAAGTGAGCTGCCATATAATTTGTCCAGTACGTTAGAAAAGTGCTTGTTGTAGTTGTCATGAGATGAAACATAGTGCTTGGAATTTAAAAGGCATTCCCATTGCATTTTGACTAAAAATTGCAGACTGCAGTATATTTTATGATGCTGTTCACTACAGCGTACTTGTGTGAGATTGTGTTGACACTCTCAAGATCAAATAGAGAAGCTGGGTGAATGGTGAATCTGAACGAAGACAAATATTACACTGAACATCAAAGAACATTAACACGATAGACCCGTCAACTGCACTAAAATATTCATATTGATGATGATTTAGAAAAATCCCATGAAGGTTTCTACTCTTCATTTTAATAATACTTTTGTTCTTATTCATTAAGACTTAATGTGTTAAATTTGAGTTCCATAAATGTTGAAATACTTCAGAATCTGTAGCACAGCATATGGTTGTTAAATAGCAGCAGAAAATTCATTAAGTGATCTGCCAAGGCTTAGCAATTTTCGAGTGAGCGAAGAAAAAGAAGTTTGGAGGCCACTGGGTTAGACATGTGGTTTAGAGGGGGAGCTGACACATGCAGAATGTTGGTGGGGAAACCACTTGGAAGACTAAGTAGGAAATGGGAAGCTTTACTGTTAATCATGGGCATTTAGGTTGCGATATTCTTTGGCAGTAGCATAGTTAAACCTTCAGGTTCTGTTGTCAGAGGGTTAGGATGTTAAGGGATAATATTGTATATTCCATAGTGGACTTGTTGAAGTATATGTCTATGTAGGATTTGAGGTTCTCACAGCCGTGAATATATGAAGATGGCTGTTTTCAGGGTTTAGTGACGTATATTCTGCCATACTTACAAAGACATGAATGGGAGAACATTTAATTTAAATGCAGAATCAGATATCTGCAGTTTCACTGTGTAATTTTCCATAAATGAAAACCTGGAGTTTATTGACTGCTGAAGAGATGTTTCAGAGTAAACATAAAATTGTAAGCAAGAAAATTGCTATCTGCAGTTGATGTATACCTTCACCTAATGAATAATAGTTTTAACTTCACGCTTCTTTCATGAATAAATTGATTGAATTAGGAAGTTGTGACAGGAAATAGTACTTATTTGCTTGTAGTGTTTTCTCACAGGAAATGTTCAGCTCCAAGCATCCACAGTCTACGTCTGGCTTGTGTTTGTGAGGTGCCCCACCCTATTCGAATCCTGCCTGAGAATTGATTATCCCAGTTGCAGTTTCTTTCTTTCTTTAGTTCCTCCAGGCAGATGCTGGGATAATACCTTAAAATAGACCACATCTTCCTGAGTCATCATTCTCAAGCATTGTGTCAAATGTTTTTTTGTCACTACAATACAGATTTTGGTAATGTTCTAATATATCCCTAATTAATTGAACAATAATCAACCAGACTTTACTTTTTCATTACAGGATTTGCGTGCAATTAACAACATGATTCAGATTGACTCAAAGAGAGTGGGGAAGAGATTACTTGTGGATGATTCCGCTGATGCCCCTCCACCTAAACAGCACACAGCTGCAGCTAGGAGACTGCAAGACTTGATTGGTGAACGGCTTGGTCAAACGCAGGACTAGACCCATCCATGTTGTTGAGGCAAGAGTATTTCAAGTTTGAATGAAGGATTTCTAATCTCGTAGTGTTGATGTGTCATAGAAGTAGTTGGTTAAATGCAGTTCTGTTCTTCAAAAAGACTGCATTGTTATGAAGCATCATGGGATGAAGAGTGACTGGGTGTCAAGAAGACAGCTGTTTGCATTGTAACTAACAGACTGTGATAATACCCACCAAGAAGGATGTACAGGAACTGTTCAGTTCTGTTGTAGTCTTTGCCCACAAATTAACTTTTAAATTCTGCGCTCTTCTAAGAAATTTATTAGGTAGATACGCATGATCTGAAACAAGCAAAATTATTTTACTGTCAACGTTACACCTTACTTCAATTAAGAAATACACTTTATAATAATAGAAATGTCTCGTTTTGAAATTGTTACTGAGCCATATATAGTATAGGTATGTCAGAATGAATTTTAAAGTTTGAAATGCATATGTAGAAAAGCTGTTTAATACCATTACCATGCTGTTTGCTAGTAGCTTACATTTCTATCAATTACCAGTAGTTTTATAGTTGTGACATAATATATAATATAGCACAATGAGAGTTTGTGTGTCTTTGTAAAGTTTTAATAGAATGACACATGCCATGGAAAGTGCATTTAATCTCTCACTAAAGCGATGCTTGGATTTGATATGAATGTTTAGATTCTAATACCAGTTGAAGACAATGTGGCATTTTTGTTTCTATATCTGTACATGTTGAAAAGTGTGTTTTATGCTCTAAGTCATTAGATCTTGTCAGTGGAAATATTTTACTGGCAAATTGATAGAAATGTCAACAAGATTTTCTTTCTTTCTTTCTTTCTTTTTCATCTTCTTCTTTTTTGAAGGTGGTTTTAAAAGTATTGCTTTAAGGAGATAATTTATTATGTTAATGATACAGGTGAATTAAAAAGATATGCTATTCTGAGGTTAAGTGGGATAATGTGCAGTAACTGCATGGAAGTATTTTTTAATTCTCTAGGAGTTATGCTTCATGTATTAGCACCAGGTCATTGTGATTTGCCTCACAGATTCTGGGGTGATCATAAGAATCTGAAGATCGTGAACATGTATGTAGTATCACATGCTTCATTTCTTCTTCTTCAACATGTGTTTGTTATTTACATAAAATTGCAGTGTTTAATTTGTTTTTGATGCTTTACAAGCCTGGATATCTCTTTATGATTTTAGTGTGGCAGTGAAATAGCATAACTATATTGCAGTGCGTAGCACTGTTACTGTCACATGCTGATATGGGTTGTGCTACTAGATCTTCATAGCTGTGCAGATTTGTAAAGGCATATATCTTTATTGAGTGTAAAATTAATATGACTGATGAAATTTATATTGTTCCATTTAATGGTGGGAACTTATGTACCAGTGATGGTAGGTATATGAAATTTTGCATGGAAATATATTATAAATATATGTATACATTCAGTATGAGAAGGTTATAAAATGCATGAATATTTTGTATGAAACATTTTTCTAGGAGCACCTACTAAAACTGCTCCGTCCCTTTGTCCATTTGCAAGAACAACTAAAGAATGGGTGTACCAATTTT